TTTTTTTTAAGTAATTATCTAATCTAGCTTATAGAGGGAGATAAAACTAAGCTTAACGTCTTATCTCTTTAGATTTATTTAAAAAATACTATATTAATAAATATAAAATAGTTATACTTTTATAACGTTACTAATTATATAGACCTAGCCTTATAATAAGGCTATTTAGTAGTATATATAAGTAGAGGAGAACTATTAAGCGCCCTACCTATCTTATAAAGATTCTTTTCTAAATCTTCTTTATAGGTACGTTAGAGAATTTATTAAGGTCTTTACTTCTCTATTTTCTATTAGTATTACTAGTAGTTAATTTTAAAAACCTTTTATTATTACTTAGTATTAATCTAGTGCTAAACGTTAATAGTCTTAAAGGCGTATAAGTCCTCTATCTCTCTAATAATTATTAGAGGATAAAGCTATTATAAGGACTTAGCTAGCTAGACTAACTGCCTGTAGTATACGTCTAGGTTTACCTTATAGTAAGTAAACTAAATATAACTAATAATTAAATTATAATAACTAGTATTAAGTTATAATAGTAAGGTTTATTAAATTACTTAATAGTTAATATATAGGTTTATAGTCTAAGTGCACTAAATATTATCTAATTATTTTTTATTAAACCCTATAGCTAGTATTAGTTTAAGTAAAGTTTAGTAAGGGGTATTATAAAATTTTTTAGTAGGGGGGTTACTTAGTTACTTATAAAGGCGTAGCTATTAACTCCTATATTAAGAAGCACTTTAAGTTAAATACTATATCTATTAAAAGCTATAGTTAACTTTATCTCTAGGGGGTTACCCTTAATAAGATTTTATAGATTAATTAAATATATAGATAACCTTAAATTATCCTTTATATTAGTTTCTAGTAAGGAGTTAGAATTTACTAAGGAACCTAATTTTTTAGCTTCTCTTTGTCTTTAGCCTTAGTAACGTCCTTTATATATTACTATAGGTTAATTTTATTAATAAAGGTCTTAGGCTTATAAAGGTAGTTATAGGCTATATAGTTAGTAGCTTTATATCTAAAGTAAGTATTAAAGTTATAGAGGTATTAGTATAAAGTAGTAAGGATTTTATCCTAGTTATTAGTTTATTTACTAGTAAGGGTAAACTTAGTAGCGTTTTAAGTACTAGGTAATACTAAGGTGTTAGTAGTATAACTAGTAGTAAACCTATAGGCTTTACTAAACTAGTTAGTAGTAGTAGTAGCTAGGGGCTTTATAGTATAAGTAATCTTAATAGTATATTTAGTATACTACTAGAAATTAATCTAGGCGTCTATATACTATTAGAAAGGTTATTATAAAAAGTAATAAGGAGTTTATTATAAAAGCGTTACTTTTATTATAACTAGGGGAGACTAAAGACTTAGGCGTATTTAGTAAATTTAGATCTCTTTTAGTAGATATTCTTAAAAGACACTATAAGGGTATTAAGTTTACTCTTAGCTTTATCTACCTTAGTAAGGCTAGTATATATAAATATAAGTTTTATAATAATATCCTTAGTAGTAGTAATAGTAAGATTTACTTTACTAATTAAAGGAAACACTAGGTTTATAGCGTCTTTACTAATATAGCTATAGACGTACTTAAAGTAATAGTCTTAACTTTACTAAAAGTAATTCTTTAGGTAATAAGTAATATATAGTATCTAATAGTTAAACTTTAGATTTTTTTTATCTTTACTATTTTTAATCCTAATAAAAATAAAGATCTTTAGTAGTTTAGCTTTACTTTTATAATAGTAAGTATTCCTACTAGCTAATAAGAAGGTAAGAGAGTTCTCTTATAAGAACTAAGTTTTTAAGTAAGTAATTTATTATTTAAGGACTTTATTTATAAAGCTACTAGTCTTACTAGGGGTATTATAATTCTTAAGAACCTTAATCTAATTTATTAAAGTAAAATTAGTAGTATAGGCTTTATAAAGCTTCTACTTTAAGGTATTAACTATATCTCCTTACTTTTTTTAGACTATAAAGATGTTTTATATATAAATATAAAGTTATTTAAAGTTATTAGTATAGTAGCCTATAATAAAGCTTAATTTAAGCTCTAAGTTCTACTAAGTATAACGTAAGGTAAGTTAGTAGTACACCTAACTATATAAATTAGCTAGATTTTCTTTATATAAAGCCTTAAACACTTCCTTAGTAAACTCTTTTTTTTTTATTACTAAATAAGGACTAGTTAGTAACCTAAATAGGTATAAGCAGGCTATTAATATAGCGCTATAGGTATTTACTATAAGTAGTTTAGTTAGTAGTAGTAAGGAATTATTTAAGGCTTAATTCTTAGAGGTAAAGTATAAGGTTAAATTCCTATAGGTCTTTAGCTTTATTATCTAAAAGGAGGGTGCTTTATTAATTAAAGGTAAGGTTTTAAGTAGGGGTTATTAATTTAGCGTTAAATACTAAAGGGCTGCCTCTACTAGTAGATTAGGCTATCTTAGTAATAGGGAGAAAATATAGAGGAGTTTAGGGGCAGTGTTAGCTAACATATAACTAAGCCTAGAACAGAAAAGTAAGGGGGAGAGGCTAGGCTAAGGTCTAGTAAGGAAAAAAAGGTTTAAGATATTATACTTCTATCTCTAGAGAAAGTAAGGGCGACCTTTAAATAGTGTTATAATAGTAATACTATGTTAGTTAGATATATAACTATATTTCCTATTATAAGAATTTAAAAGTAAAAAAGAAAAAAATCTACCTTAAGGGGCTAGTAGTCCTACTAGCTATTATATAGCTATTTATTCTATTTATAAGTTACCTAATAGTTCTTATAACTAGGGGTTCTTATCTCTTGCCTTTTAGTAGGTCTTTTAGTGCTATAGGGTTTACTAGCTACTAGGGTATAGGTGCACTAACTACTAAGGCTTAGGGCCTTAGCTACTAAGGCGTAGTGTACTAACTACTATAGCTATAGCGTACTTACTACTAAGGCGTAGTGTATAGACTACTATAGCTATAGCGCACTTACTACTAAGGCGTAGTACACACTAGCCACTAAACCACGCTATAACCCTATTCCCGTCTGTGTATCCCCTATGTGACCCCTCTGGCCGTGATAAAGGGAAAAAAAAAGCGTTGCACGCCCCCCGGCTCACTCGTTTGTTGTTGCGCACATTATAGGCCTGGAAACGAACAATATCAGGCAGGTCGTTTCAACCAGTGGCGGCAGCGGTCAGCACGCTCCGAATGCGCTAGCACGGCAGAATCGCCAGACGGGGTGTAGACTCATTCTTGACGGCAGGGGCAGACGAAGGAGACGGGGAGGGGGGGAGAAGGATGGTGGGTTGGAGGGAGTACATTAGGTATTTCACAGAGCAGCACAAACAAGCGGCACACACGCACAACCTGGTTTTCCTCCGGAGAGAAATGATCGTACAGAAAACAGGAAGCTGAGCTGGGTTGAAGGAGAAGAGGCTACGACAGGAGACTGCCTAGGTACCTACGTACCCAGGCACGGTGTACGATACATCGCGAGACCTTTATCGGCCTCTAAACTCGCGTACAGTATCCGTACTCCATACACCAACAAAGGCATACCCAGGGCTTGGAGGAGGGGGCGCAAGCAGCACCTCGAGCCAATGCTAATCGGCGAAATCCCTAGCTGCCCACCAACAACCCCTTCCGGGCGTCGACGCTTGTGCTGTGTTGGGAAAAAACCTCGATCGATCACCATTCGTATTCCATGTCGGCCGCGGTTTGAAGAGCGAATTGCATTGCGATAGAGGCTCCTCCGTTCACCCCTAGCCGAGACGCCCCGCATATGCCACCGTCTCATTCGCTACTCGACTCAGAAAGTACCGCTGCCGCAAGTCTCGCTGGCAAAGATACAAGCATGGTTAGGCCGAAATATACTAGCGCCGCCTTGCTCCATTCCGCATCTCCTCGTCTTGAACTCCCCTCTCCCCGTAGGTACCTAGGTTGGGTACCTTATCTAGTATGGTTCAAGTACCTCCCCTCCTATTTTGATTTACTCTGAGATCCTCGACGCACCGCATCACATCTCCTCTCAACTCACACCGCGCACAAGTACATCTCCCGGCAGGGATGGCTGAATGCTGATCTCGAGTACTGTGTACACTGCTCCGTACAGAGACCCGGTCCCCCAAACTTGGCCGACCAACTTTAAGACAAAAGCGAGGAGAATAGGAGACGGGGAGACGGGGACCAAGGAATATACTGCGTAGCGCTGCACCTTAGGGCGCGCTCACTTGTCCCGTCTCTCGAGCTTCACCGTTCGCCTCATAAACCAATCTTCCTCTCCACCTTTTCTTCCCAAGCCCCCCCTCGCCAATCCTATCCCACCCCAATCCCTACATCCGCCCTCCTTAGTCCGCTTGTGGTATCCGTTTGCCCCCCTTGTTAAGGTACTTCATGTTCCGCCTTATCTCTTCTCTTCCTGGTCCTGCGCCTGTGGTTCTTCTTTTGCTTTGCTCTCTGCTCTTTCGCGACTTCTAGGCTCTAGCAGCTCACTCGTCCTACTTATCCGCCTGACCATTTTGGGGGCGTGTCTGCTCCCTATTTGCTCGGCTCGTGCGTCGTCTTTTTACCCTCGCGCCTTCTCGGATTGTCAACCCACCTACACCACTTCTCCCTCCTTCCTCCCTACCACCCCCGAATTCCCACCCCTCCCATAACACCTTCACTCCGCAGGAAGAAAAAAAATAAGAAAGAAAAAACAGGAGCGTTATCGTCTTCAACGCCTTGAATCGACGTGGTTCAGGCGAGTGGGAAGACTCTGTTCCTACCACCTCCTCTAGGATACGGTTTATCGATATTCACTGAGGTTCCAGGCACTTACTGAGCTAATATGCTGCCGGTTGACCACGACTCTTCTTGATCTGTACCCGCTCGACCTTTTCCATCCAAACCCCTCTAGCCTCGGCCACCTTCTCGCGACCATCCCCAAACCCCTACTCGACAAATATCACAAGCAGCGTGCTCTGCCCTGCTTGTTGATTCGACCGCACGCCCTCAATAATTCCAAGATGGTCGACGATTCAGCACTGGCCGCCGCCGCGGCCATCGTGCAATCCCTTGCCGCCGATGGCACGACGCCCATGTCTCTTCCCTTCAAGGTCGATGCGCGAATCGAGCTCCCTGGTCGTGACACCCCCGCAAAACGCAGCCTCGAGAACGAGCTGGCCAAGCTCGCGCAAAGAATCGAAAAGCTCGAGAGCAGAGCCCAGGCTTCTGTAGCCTTCCCAGAGACACCCAATGAAGTCCACGATTCCATCTTCGGCGGCGACGATTCCGACGACCCATCGCCGACATCGTCCAACAGCCGCCCGATCTCCAGGCCCAAGTTCCAACGCGAAGGTACCGCCACAGCCGATCCAAGCCTCGCAGACAGCCCGCTGACTGACGAAGCCTTGGAAAGCTTGCAAGAGAAAGTGCTTGACCAGGAGAAAGGTATCTCCAGCGCCAGACAGGAAATCAGCAGCGTTAGCGCCCAGCTTCTCGAGCAGAAGGAACTCCAGGAACAGGCATTCTTCAAGATCGAACAGGAACGAGTCGCCACTCTGGAACGGGAGCTATGGAAGCACCAAAAGGCGAACGAAGCCTTCCAAAAGGCCCTGCGGGAGATCGGTGAAATTGTCACAGCTGTTGCTCGCGGAGACCTTTCCAAAAAGGTTCGCATGAACACTGTGGAAATGGACCCCGAAATCACAACTTTCAAACGGACAATCAACACCATGATGGATCAGCTACAGGTTTTCTCAAGCGAAGTCTCCCGCGTCGCCCGCGAAGTCGGGACCGAGGGTTTGCTTGGTGGCCAAGCCCGCATTGAAGGTGTCGACGGCACCTGGAAAGAACTCACGGACAATGGTATGTCTGCAATGCAGCCCGCCTTTCAGTGGCATGGCGCTAATGAATCGACACAGTAAACGTTATGGCCCAAAATCTCACGGATCAAGGTCAGTTCCCCCTCCCCTTTTCCCTAACCTATATGGAGGCGCTATACTGACCTTGCTTTAGTGCGAGAAATCGCATCGGTAACAACTGCAGTCGCTCACGGTGACTTGACCAAGAAAATCGAACGCCCCGCTAGAGGAGAAATCCTGCAACTGCAACAAACAATCAACACAATGGTAGACCAACTACGAACTTTTGCCTCCGAAGTCACTCGAGTCGCTCGCGATGTCGGAACTGAGGGTATACTTGGTGGTCAAGCTGACGTTGAAGGGGTCAAGGGCATGTGGAATGAACTAACCGTCAATGTCAACGCCATGGCAAATAATTTAACCACCCAAGTGCGAGACATCATCAAGGTAACGACTGCTGTGGCCAAGGGCGACCTCACCCAAAAGGTTCAAGCGGATTGCCGGGGAGAAATTTTCGATCTCAAGTCAACCATCAACTCCATGGTGAACCAGCTTCAACAGTTCGCGCGGGAGGTCACAAAGATTGCCAAAGAGGTCGGCACAGAAGGTAGGCTCGGTGGCCAGGCTACCGTTCATGACGTTGAGGGAACCTGGAGAGATCTCACGGAGAACGTTAACGGCATGGCGATGAACTTGACAACACAAGTGCGCGCAATCGCCAAGGTCACTACCGCCGTTGCGAATGGTGACCTCACTGAGAAGATAAGAGTGCCTGTAAGGGGTGAAATCCTCGATCTCAAGAACACCATCAACACCATGGTTGACCGTCTTGGAACCTTCGCCTTCGAGGTCAGCAAAGTTGCCAGGGAAGTCGGTACCGACGGAACTCTGGGTGGGCAAGCCCAGGTTGCCAACGTGGAGGGCAAATGGAAAGACCTCACCGAAAACGTCAACACCATGGCATCGAACCTTACTTTACAGGTTCGAAGCATTTCAACCGTCACCCAAGCCATTGCCAACGGTGACATGAGTCAAAAGATTGAAGTGGAGGCACAAGGAGAAATACGGGTCCTCAAGGAAACCATAAATAATATGGTTGACAGGCTGTCCAACTTCTGCAACGAGGTACAACGGGTGGCTAGGGATGTCGGCGTCGACGGCAAGATGGGCGCGCAAGCCGACCCAGCCGGTCTGAAGGGCCGTTGGCGCGAGATTACGACGGACGTCAACACCATGGCTAGTAACTTGGTAAGTTTGACAGTCCTCACTTGACCCGAACCTCGAAACTAACGGCCCGAACAGACTACTCAAGTGCGGGCGTTCTCGGACATCACCAACCTAGCGACAGACGGAGACTTCACGAAACTTGTCGAAGTGGAAGCCTCGGGTGAAATGGACGAACTCAAACGAAAAATCAATCAGATGGTGTCCAATCTACGGGATAGTATCCAGAGGAACACGCAAGCTCGTGAAGCAGCAGAACTGGCCAACAAGACAAAATCGGAGTTTTTGGCAAATATGTCTCACGAGATCCGCACACCCATGAATGGCATCATCGGCATGACCCAGCTGACGCTCGATACGGACTTGACGCAGTACCAACGAGAGATGCTGAACATTGTCAACAGTCTAGCGAACAGTCTGTTAACAATCATTGACGACATCTTGGATTTGTCCAAGATTGAGGCTCGCAGGATGGTCATCGAGGAAATCCCGTACACGTTGCGTGGAACTGTGTTCAACGCTCTCAAGACCCTAGCCGTCAAAGCGAACGAAAAATACCTCGACTTAACATACCGCGTCGATAGCTCGGTGCCAGACCACGTCATTGGGGATTCATTCCGTCTTAGGCAGATCATCCTCAACTTAGTCGGCAATGCCATCAAGTTCACTGAGCACGGCGAAGTTAGCTTGACGATCAAGAAGGCCGACCCCGTGGTTTGGGCCTGCAACCCTGATCAGTACGCCATCGAGTTCATCGTCACTGATACTGGTATTGGTATTGCAGCAGACAAGCTTGATCTCATTTTCGACACGTTCCAGCAGGCCGATGGCTCCATGACCAGGAAGTTTGGCGGTACCGGTCTCGGCCTGTCCATCTCGAAGCGCCTTGTGAAGCTGATGGGCGGTGACTTGTGGGTCAAGAGCCAGCACGGTCAAGGTAGCGAATTTCACTTCACGTGCCGCGTTCGCCTGTCCGACCTCGGCGTCGAGGTTATTGAAAAGCAAATTAAGCCGTACAAGGGCCACGAGGTTCTTTTCGTCGACAAGGCGCAGTCCGGCTACGGAAACCAAATCAAGACAATGCTTTCCACCATTGGCCTGAAGCCTGTCGTTGTTGACTCGGAAAAGAACCCGTTGCTCACCGACGTACGGGACGCCCAGGCAATGCCGTACGACGTCATCATTGTCGACTCCATCGACACGGCCAGGAGGCTCAGGTCCGTTGACGACTTCAAGTACCTGCCTATTGTTCTCCTGGCGCCCGTTGTCCATGTGAACCTAAAGTCTTGCCTGGACTTGGGCATAACATCGTACATGACCACACCTTGTACTGCTGTCGATCTCGGAAACGGCATGATTCCTGCCCTTGAGAACCGCGCCACGCCCTCCTTGGCCGACAACACCAAATCGTTCGAGATCCTCCTTGCTGAGGACAACCGGGTCAACCAGAGGCTCGCCGTCAAGATCCTTGAGAAGTACCATCACGTGGTCACCGTCGTTGGCAACGGTCTTGAGGCTGTTGAGGCCATCAAGAGGAAGAAGTTCGATGTTATCCTCATGGATGTCCAGATGCCAATCATGGTAAGTCTCGAGATTTTTACTTCCAGTCAATCTTGAGTGCAAGCTAATCCCACCCCGTAGGGCGGTTTTGAGGCGACAGGCAAGATCCGTGAGTACGAGCGAAGCCTAGGCTCGTACCGTACTCCCATCATTGCACTGACAGCCCACGCCATGATGGGTGATCGTGAGAAATGCATCCAGGCACAGATGGACGAGTACCTGTCCAAACCTCTGCAGCAGAACCACCTCATCCAGACTATCCTCAAGTGCGCGACCCTCGGTGGTCAGTTGCTGGAGAAGAACCGAGAGAGGGACATGGCTCAGCAGTCGAGGGTCAAGGCCAGCACCAACGAGCACCCTCAGTCTCATGTTCGTCCGCCCATGGATACCAGGTCCTTCACCTCCAAAGAACCAATCATGGGACCCAGCCCGGCCAGCCCCGCTTTGGCCTCAGTGGATCAGGAAGATCCCATTTCTAGGGCACGTAATGGCCTTTCCGACTCGCGCAGCCTAACAAGCTAACTTGGTTTCTTGTTCGTGCGCGCAGCTGCTACTGAGGTCACATAGTTCCTAACTGGAATGTGCAGGGACAGGCTCAGAAAAAACGCAAGTGGCGACCCGAGTAAACACTACGACATGAACATCGTTAGTTTGTCGATGAAATACCCAAGAAAGTTTCACGAGAGCATTAATGAAGGCATCATCGCTTCCCCGTGCCAACCCGACATCCGCCCCACGCACACCAGACATCATCTACATACACGACACGTCACGTCTCCTTCTAGCGGCAGAGGGCATTTTGAGGATGGGACCGGTCCGTCTCAATCTCGGGTTTCATCATAAGACGGATATGCAAAGTGTTCCAGCATACAAAGAAATCGACTGATCTTTGTTGGCTGGCCACTCAATATCTCAGGACGGGTGTGCACATGGATGGACATTCGGATTCGGGCTCCACGAGGGAAGGTGAAGGAAGGTCGTTGGGAGTTTTTGTCTTTTTGCATGCTGTCCTTTGTCAATGGACTAAAGGACATGGGGGCATGCTGCCCTCATTCATCACCTTCTCGTTCACATGCCATTGTAGTTTTATTTTTATTGTCATAGTTGAAAGTTGCGACAGTGGGGAGAATAGCTGAGCAGCCAGCATTGTAGACTGGTTGCTTCTAGACCTCAACGTTTGCGGGCTTTAGCTTCTGTGGCAGGTCTACCTAAACAGGTGGTTTCAGGCTCGCATGCCTCCGGCTTGAAGGTTTACCTATGGCAAGATGGGGAGGACTGGGGAATGGGGTTCCAACTTTCGTGAGACCAGGCATTGGAAGTGGATAGCGGGAAGAGAGGGAGAGAACAGAGAGATTTGGTTTTGTGTTTCACCCTCTCCAGAAACGAATGGGTTACCAGCAACAAGGGCGTCAAGAGATGGGACAGACTTTACATCATTGATATAAAAAAAAAAGGCTAGGCCGTTTTGGTTTGGCTGAATACCCAGATTCTGGATAGTACACTCGGTGCAGTGATGATGGCCTTAGCCTGCGTACGTGCGGGACGGTTCTGGATGCACCAGAGCTCTTGAAGGCCGAGTCCGAACAACTGAATTTGACTGCGGATTTGTTCCTTCTCGTGCCCCCCCCCCTGTTCGAGCAGTCCGCGTTGCCTGGAGGAACACCATGTCTGGTTTGTCATTTGAACATGTCCGAGGCCATACATGAATGGCCAACTCGCCTGGGCCCCCGGAAGGGCAGAACACGTCTTGACGGCCCCCCACTCTCCCCGATCAAACTTTCGGCCTGTGTCACTCTTCCGATTTCCGGTTTCCGCTTTTCCCGACGACGGGCCCGGCCATTACTATCCGAGAAGATGGGATCTCCGTCACCGAGCTCCAGTCCATCCCTAATGCCACGCATTGTCGAAGACACTTGTGCCAGGGCCCGGAATTATTTGTAGCGTATTTGTGTTCCGCATGGTCTCACTGACGAGGGCGCGCAGCTCACGAGCTTCCTCATGTTCCTCAAGTGACTGGGCCTTGGCAATACTTCCAGTGACTCCAGCACGGCCAGGCTTTCCCTCCGTGGCGACGGAGCCTGCTCCTATAACGTAAGGTTCACTCCATCCCTAGTGTTCTGATACAGTATAGCCAACGTAAAACCATCATGAGAGATACTTGGGAACTCAACCGCGGCCACGAGGCACGCGGCCCTTGGCTCAACCATGGTCCCACGCCAACAGAAAAACAAGGCCTGCAGAGTGAACGAAAGAGACACAAGACCGACATTTCTGCCTTGACATTCTGCCGTGACGGTAGCACGAAGTGGGGTGGGGTCGTTGTGCGCGACAAGCTGTTTGCGAGGCTAGTCACGAGAATCAACACCTGGGCTACATCCTCACCCCACTCCACTCAAAATACCCTTAGGGCATGTTAGCCTATTGAGTCGGCGGTATAGAGCTCTTTTTTCCGAGGTCTTGAGATATCAGATTGCACCATAACGGGCGAGCAAGAGGGGCTGAGGACGGATGCCTCGTCGAGCATGCAACGATATCGACAGTGACGCCCACCCCTCCCACCCCTCGGACATCAACCGGGCGACTTATCTCACGAGAGGCCTTCCGCTAGCGTAGACGGAAACAATAGTAGACTGAGGAGAGGAGGGAATAGGTAAGGGTAAGAGGCTTCGGCCAGAAACCAATATGCCACGAGCCAAGACAAGCCCGGCAGGCAAAGAAGGATAGCAGTGCTGCAAGAAGAGCCCCCCTCCCTGGGCGCCAACGGCCTACAGTACCAGAGCAAAAGTCTTGTTACATTCATAAGGATACCCCCTCGCTCTCAATCTGCCTTAAACTGGTGTCCTGGCTGATAGTAGTATTAGCTGCTGATTGGGTTGCGTTTTCGCTGTAAGACTTTTGGCCTGGTACTGTACCTTCTCGCCCCCTTCTGTGCCTGCGGGGATGAGTCAAAATAAGCCATGCCGACTTCGTCGGCCGATCGGCCACCAGTCTCACATTGTATGCGGAACTCCTCTCAACATGCGGTTCGCGGATGGGACGCACACGACTATAAACACCACACACCCACGAACGCGCACACAAGTCCGTAGTGTACATAGTACGTCCGTCCTCTTGGCAGGGGTATCAGGCTGAAGGAACCCCCCTCTAACCCATCGAGATCCTCCCACCTCCAGAAGAAAAAGAAGGAGTGTTTGATCCGGCAGAAGAGGGGGGGCCATCTGATAGCTTTCCCCTCGAGACCCTAGAGATACACGGCAGGGTACTGTGATACAGTGATACACTGACGGTGAACAGGAGCGCGGCAGCACTCCGTCTTTCTTCCCTGCCAATTTAATGTGCCGGGCGGTGAGGTGGTAGGGCAGGATACTCTCCGTGTTCACCATCACTGGACAACCGGACCGCAGGCCTTAACGAGCACCCGCTGGTGGTGTAAGCGACACACTATCACTCACTAGTTCATCTTATCACGGCGGGAAAAAAGAGGCAGCTCGGAGGGTAGGGCACGTGGGATCATCGTGTGATTGCTCTACCGGATCGGCATTGCTGAGGTGCAACATGCGAGTGGCGAGGATGAATGCCAAGATCACAGGCGTCCGTTTCGACTGGCACATCAACCACGACTCTCTCCTGGGAAGAGAGGAAGGAAAAGGAGGAAGAAAACCTCGTCAGAATCCACTTCAGCCACGGGCTCGCGTTAAGCGCGCATCATGAAGGGAGGGGGAAACGCCAATTACCTTCAATTTGATGGAAATTGTTAGGATCGTTAGAGGAGGGTGGGCAGCGGCGATAAGATGTTGTCGGTGATAATGCATTTGATAGGCCGGCCCAAACAAAAAAGAACCACTAGAGGAGGGGGTTCAGCCTTGGCCTTCTGGCATCCAGCCCTGATCGTCGCCTCGCCGCAATCGAGAACTATCGCCACCTCGGTCGGCCGCAAAAACTCCCAATGTTTGCTCCATCTTATGACGGCAAAAATCGAGATTGCGCTTAAAAAGGAAATGGGTAGGCCCAAAGTAATGCTGGATCCCATCCTCGCGCACCCCGGTCCGTCACAACCCGAGGCACACTGGCGCGTCTCGAATCACCAGTCCCATCCTTAAGGCTTCCTCGCCGGCTCGTTGGATCTAGGGCCATCTTTCTTCTCCGTATCGGATGCTCCATGGTGAGTCGTCCCGTCCTCCTTTGAGTTCTCGTTATCTGGTTCCGCGGTGCCAGCCTGGTCGGACTTCCCATTGGCTTCGAAAGCGGCAAGTAGAGCGTCCAGTCTACTCTCGAGGTTTGTCAGGTTGGTCTCGAGCGTGGTGGCGGCTTGTTCGCCTCTGAATACGGTTCTCGGTTAGTCTGATTGCGAAATTCGTGTGGAGAAATGGCGGTCACGAGGGCGAATCTCGATGGGCAACGAAACATGGGAATCTATCTTTTCGGTCTGGCCACTTGGCTAAATCTCAAGCGGAAGACGGGGAAGGGAAGGGGTGGTGGTTCCGAATGGCTGGCGCAACGGACTATTGGGTATTGTTTGGAGAAAGGGCCTCGGCCGTCGTGAAGGCCATGGGTTGAGACATAGACGGGAATGATAGCCCCGGGGGCGTTAGACGTTGAGGAGTACATGCACCTCACACACTCTGGGAGAATATGGTCTGGACCGGGGGAGGAGGGGGGGTTGCCTCAAGCTACTTCATCGAGATAGCACCTCCTGCGGGAGCGGTAACCGAATGCCATCGTGACACAAGCGAGTTCTGACGGCGAACTAGACATGGTCGTACCACCAATCCCCAAATCTGACGATGGGGCCCTTGATCTCGCTGCGTTGCGCTATCCTAGACATAGCATCGCGGGAGGAGGCAAGAAAGCGCCCGGCCGGGCAATGGTGTTGATAACTTCCTCGGTTGAAACAAGACGCAATGAGGTCTGAATCATCGGGTGGGCAAGAATGGATGACTGGTCCAGACGTGGGTCCACATGCGGCAACAAGACGCACAAGTCAGCGCCAAAAGCCGAAGTTTCCAGGGCTGAGGGCGCCATCAACGAGAAAGAAAACAAAGATAGGATAGCTGGCGCGCTGCCTTGACCAGGAACGGTCTGATGTGCATTGGTGGTGCTGCGCCGCGCAAGGGTTCTAGAGGAAGTTTTGGGCAAGGCGCTCGCTTGCACTGCATTGTGCATTCCGCGGACTCGCAGCTTCGGAGGCAGTTCCGATTTTTGTCCAGGGTGCAGACATGCTATTCTCAATATTGTGGTAGTAGGGGTGGAGGCGGCTCTTCGATTTCTCACACCGGGGGCGCGTGTACCAAGGACGTGACGGCAGGGAAGATATGGAAAATAAAAATAAAAGGACAATGGGAAAATGCTCGTCGATTGGGCGTTACCTTAGGAGGTCTCTATAGGCCTATAACGCGCCCCAAACGTGGTCAGCCCTGGAACAGTGTACGAGGAAGCCTGTCCTATCCCGTATCTCGCCACAGCCCACTTCTGCCAACTGCCAATGCCCTTCAGCGTCTCTTCTGTCGCAACTACTATAGTAA